GGGCTACCTGTAACATGCTTATCGCTATCGGTGCACGAAAAGGACAAAAAACGCAAGAAAGTGCACGACACAAGCGCTGTCTAACAACTGAAAGTTTAATGGAAGAAACGTATCATATATATGCAAACATGACGGCATAAAAATAAAAAAAAACCTTTGCACTCCCCCACCAAGCACGGAATCAAGTATGCTGTATGCGTAATCTCCGCGTCTGTGAGAGCGATTGAAGACTGGCTCACGCACCTGTCTCCTGCGTTTATGATTTCATACGCTTCAGCAATTTCACGCGTGCGCTGGTGGCTTTGTTAAACTCAGCCGCGCTGCCGGCAAAATGCGCAATGGAGGGCAAGATGCGCGCAAGGTGTACCTCTCGGAGAGCTAGCATGCTTCCTTATACGGGCGTACAGTGTCAATTTTCATGAAAGGGAACACCGAACGCGTGGCCCGCGCGCTTCAGTGGCTGCTTGTAGCTCATTCAAGCGGGAGCGATAGGAACCACAGCCTCTATTCCCGTCATCCAGTGGCGAGCAAAACAACCGGTCATTGGCGATATGGGACCAGCGGCGAGATTGCAACTCCCTCCCCCTTCGAGGCGATTACGCCCGGCCTCTTACCTAATCGCCTTGAAGAAAAGGCGATTGCTATCTGGCCGCCGGTTACATATCACCAATGACCGGTTGTTTTGCTTGCCACGAGATGACGCGTGAATAGAGGCTGCGGTTGCTATCGCTCCCGCTTGAATGTGCTACAAGCAGCCGTCGAAGCGCGCAGGCCACTCGCTCGCGTGTTCCCTTTCATAAAAATTGACGCTACATTAAGCGGATGGCACGTTGCCTCAACGTCCGTAAGGGAGCATGCTATAGCTCTCTGAAAGGTACACAGCTGACATTAACAAAGCCAATATGTTGATGAGGCATAGTGGCCAGTGCACGCGTAAAATAATCGCTGAAGCGTATGAAATCGTAAAAGCATGGAGACAGGTGCGTGAGCCAGCCTTCAATTGCTCTCACAGATGCTGAGTCTGCGTTATCTACAGCACACTTGATTACGTGCTTGCTGGGGAGGTGTCAAGGTTTTTTTATGCCGTCATGTTTGCATACATATGACACGTTCCTTCTATTAAACTTTCGGTTGTTAGACAGCGCTTGTGTCGTGCAAGTTCTTGTGTTTTTTTGTCCACTGATCGTGATAAGTTGGCGCTTGTCTCTGTATACGTTCCTGGCTTGTGTCTTCGTATTTTTGTGCTACCTGCTCTGACACGAACTATTGTGAACCTCGCATGCGTCGTAATCTCTGCCACTGGCGTGAATCTTGCCTAGTTAGAATAGTCATTTTGCCTCGAATCCTCACTTGACATTTGGTTGATACCGTAAGAAAAATCGCCGTAAAAGTTACCCCTGTACAGTTCTTCTATATATAACCTGTAATACTGCTGATTTTATGCTCCTGATATATTTCTTTTTTTACCCGCCATACAGGACTGTTGAAATGTAAGCGGTCCTTCCCGCGCCTCATTTATGTTGCCATCAGGCTAAAGCTAGCTATAGCGAGCTGTAAGTATTGCATATACAGGGTGTTCCAAGAAATGTGTCCAATATTTTTTTAAAAATCGGGAAAAGGCGCTATTTGCTCGCTCTTTTAACAGTTGCTTTTTCTATAGTGACAGTCATCTTAAGAGCATTAAAGATATTATTTGGGACGGTAATTAAGAAGGTAAAATAACTAACTTTTAATTAGTGGAGTTAGGCAATTAAGTCGAATGGTAGAATCGAAGTCCTTCATGTGGAAAACCGATTGGCGCTTTGAGGTTTCGGAAAAGTGGCCTCTAGTAATAACTGCGAAATAATGAAATTCTGCCCAAGTCTGCGGCGAAACCGAAACGCGAAAGAGCGCAACTGAAATGAGGGAGCGTGTTATATAAACCACCCACCGACTTCGTTGTGTGGGTGGGGGGGCTGCGCTCGCAATTACAGCACGCATGACGCACTTACCTTAAAACGAACGGGGCAAAACTGCACCCCTGTAACCGCCGTTTTGAACAGGGACGTCATTGTAGTCGTCTGTTTGTTGCGCTCTTTGGTCCGTTGGTTTCGGTATCGACGTGGAATTTACAATTTCATTAATTCGTTGTTATAACAAGAGTCCGCTTTTCGAAAATTTCAAAGCGGCAATGGGTTTTTCGCATCTAGGACTTTGGTTCTTCTATTTGACGTAACTGCCGAACTTCACTGATTAAAATTAGTTTTCTAATTACCGTTTCCTAATTACCATTTCGAATTATGTCTTCTACCTTTTTAAGATGTCTGCCTATACAGAAAAACCAACTGTGAAGGCAGCGAGCGAATGGCGTCTTTTGCTGATTTTTAAACACTATTGGACACATTTCTTGAAACACCCTGTATGTTGGCTTCATTGTATAGCATGTAAAAACATCACACGTGCCCGATTACAGGTAGCTCGCCTGAGTACTTCGATTGAATTGCATTTCTGCATTGTTGTTGTAAAAAGAAACAAATCGAACTCAAGTTTTTTGATCTTGGGGAACTGGAAAGCATGTAGCTTTTTGCAAAGCGTACCGCTTACTACACGTGCTATAATAATAATAATAATAATAATAATAATAATAATAATAATAATGCAATGTCTCCACATGAAACGTCTTGCACTTTCGTACAGTTTGCTTTCTTGTGCCGAGATGCGCGGCGCAACGGTGACGAGTCTATCAGCTTCGGACTCGTCCGCGTGTCGTGCCCCCTCATTTTCCCGGCGCGGTCGAATGCGCCCGTCAGCGTGATGGCAGGGTGTGGAACGGCGGTGAAAGTGGCCGTCCAGCGGCGGACGCACACGCAGCCGGCCTGGGTGCGACGGGGTCGACCCAGTTCGGCCGTGCCTGTATTTTTGGTTTGAGGTCGGATGGCGTAATGCTCTCCACCGCTCGTGGCTCTGATGTCACCGCACGCATTGGAGTTGGCCGAGCTTCGGTGACGAGGCCTGCCTCTTTTTGCCGCCCGGTGATGCCGTGTCATCTTGCGCGGCGGGGCGCATCGTCATTTGCTTTGCGGTGATCCGGCTCCGACGCTCTGTCGTGCGGGTGGTTCCTTCTTTAGGCCGTCGAGGTAATACAATGTGGGAAAAGAGATTTATTTTTTTTTTAATAATAAATGCGGGCGTCTGCAGCTCTCGCGGAGCGGGGCTATAACTTACCATCGGAGGAAGCGGCGCGTCAATATAAGATCGCCGCGCTACTTTAACTAAATGACGCTCCCTTGGGAGTGTAGACTTGCAGACCAGGCGGAGGAGAGCACAGTATATAGATGTGCCTGCTTGTTGTCATTGCGGTAATGTAATCGTGGGAGAAATCGCAGCGTGTAGCAAGCCAACTCGCCTAATCGATACGGCCCCGTAGACGTTTCGATTCGCGTTGAAAGGAAGAGGACACTACAAGCTTCAGAACCCTACGTTCTTATATGCTCGTCCGACTTTCGGCCGATCCCCCTGTAGGTGCCAATCACGGTGTGATACTCTAAGCATACACCTAATCGCTGTCCAACTTTTTGCGATTGTTTCTGCTTTGATTACCAGCTGTGTTTTCCCCAATCGTGCTTTTTCTGACGCCACCACAGACGTTGATGTTAACTAATTTTATTTGGATCTTGAGAATTAACTTCATATACCTTCTTTGCCCCGAAACACGCTGTGACGTCATGCTACCAACCGTACTGTTTGAGCGTTTGATCACCCCATTCGTTGTTGTGCTGACATGCCATGGCGCAGCCCGCATGAGGCTGTGAACTATCTGTCGCCTATAAGCAACGCTAAAACGTTTCGTTGCTCGTAGCCTTCGATGAGTTCATGCCTCTTCTGAGGGGGTGAGCCCTTTTCTGTTACAGTGTGGTCGTGCTTTATGAAATTAAGATTAGTTAAGTGGTTGTCGCACTGCAGCAGCTGTTAGCGTTCGTCTATTACGACAGTGAGTATACCAAACTACAATGCCAGGCTTTTTTGGGAACTGTAGTTATTATTTCCGAGATCAACATCATTCGTCTGCGCCAGAACACCATATTGATGGCCCTTGTGGAGTCGTGCTAACTGTAGGTGCATGTTCAGTAGTGCTGCTATTGGTTCAAATGAAATCGCTTCGTGGATGAAGAATAGAGAGAATACTGGGACAGCGGTGTAGTACAATGATGTTTGCGTATGTGGTTTGTGCATTACGTTCTGAAGGGCCGTTATCACAGTGTTTCTTGTTCTAAGTGCTATCACGGGCTTCTCACTAGTATACCACTCCAAATTCCTGCTGTGTTGTCGCTCAAGGCTTACCGAGCTCAACGTGACCTGAAAGAGTTCGTTTTTTTTTTTTTTTGGGGGGGGGGGGGGGGGTCTGAGGTTAGACTGAGCTTGCATGTGCTCGCGTTCTACTCTACGCAGGGCAAAAAAAAAGCATTAAAATGCAAATTTAAAACTACATGTCTGATAAATGTATGCCGTCGTGTTTCGATCCAGAAAACTCATGCTAGCCCTCTCGATTTCTTGTTTGTGCCCGCAATTATATGTTCGGTCGATCATGTTCGCGCGTAGATTGGCTTTTTATTTGCCTCCTCGAAAAGTTCATATACATTCTGCATATCATGCATTCGGGTAGAAATTCAATGGAAAACGATATGCTCTCCTTTGCACGCGTTTTAGGTATGAAGAAACGCACGTCGAAGGCCGCCGGAAACTCGTCCTGTAGGTGGGTGTGCGGAGGTATATAGCACCGAGGGATTTGCCCTGCTGCAAAGATCAAGCTTTGGGGGCGTGATAGTGTCTCTGGCTGATGTATACGGCAGGCTTACGTAATGTTGGGTTGATGCGCCGATAAACACACCTCTCTGCGCTAGCTGCCTTACGGAAGAAGCGTTGATGCGTGTGTATGTGTAAATGATGGGAATAACGCTATAGGTGCAGAACGTTTTATAGAAAGAAAGCCTATTAGAGAATCGAATCTGCTCTTTGCGCAGATGCAGAACGCTGGAAGGAAGCCTTTATTATCGGACCCGACGGCCAACCAGGTGACTATTTAAGATAAATTCTGTATTTTGTGCATTTTAACGCTGACAGTGCATAACGCTCGAGGAACGCCGCAAGGACAGCTGCGCAACGTTCAACGGTAACGCCCCGTGACAGAAATCGCGCGATGATTTTCCAGCCGATGGCGGTTGACGCTTTGTCAAGGCGCGACGTGCAGCGCGATTTTCGCCACGTGGCGATGCTGTTGTGTCCTGATGGCGTCGTATAAAGTGACTCGGCAAGGGCTCTGGCGAGCGCGGGTTGCGCGGATTTGTCGGTGACGATGAAGCGTTTTCGAATTGATGTATGCACACTCTGAGATTGGCCGAAAGAGGATTTTTTTTGAAATAGATATACTTTCTTAGTGTGCTGAACCTTTCAGAAAAGAAGTCAGATAGAACAGAGCGTGCACTTACCTCCACTTCATCGCTCAGATGGCGCGAATATATATATATATATATATATATATATATATATATATATATATATAGACACACAATCAAGAGGGCGAGAAAGTTCAGCGCACACCAAGCTTGTTAAGCGAGGAATTGCGAAAGCATGCATGATGGCATCACTGTCAAGATCCTGCCATCACCAGGTTAAGAGCAGTTTTGGCAACCAACTTGACAGGTGATACTCCTCTCACACGGCAAATCTAATTGATCGACGTAGCGCGTTTAGACACATATAGGACAAGGGAAGGGACAGAAGGGAGCGCTTACTTCCAACAAAATCTTTATTTCGAGGAGCGTACATATATATGCTCACGAAATTCGAAGACAACAGATAAACAGATGAAAAACCCTCTATTGCCATGCGCTAAAAACTTATGCTCTCAAGAACGACAATTCTTTTTCACAAAGACCGAGAGAAGGAGTGCTGACGCAGTTCGGCGCTAATCTACTAATCTTTTCTGCTTCAATAATCTCCCTTGTCACTTTATTTCTGTTTTTTCCTATGATTATCGAACCATGAAAAAGTGGTTTGCAGCCACACGTGCTGCAATGTAGTGCCAAAAAACCATCTCGACCATTTCTTACGTTGCAAGCGTGTTCGCGGAGCCGGTCATTAATGCACCTGCCAGTTTGTCCTATGTAGTATTTACCGCATGAAAGAGGTATTTGATAGATTACAAATTGCGCGCATGTAACATACAGTGTTAAGTGCTTTTTAGAGCATCCCGGTTTTGCATGTGAAACAACTTTCATACACAAGTACGAGAGCTTTTTCGGGGCAGAAAACACCACTTTATATTGGCCCGCTCCCCAACCTTTTTCAAGTTGTGGGAGATTCCATGCAAATAAGGCACTACGGCAAGCTTCTGACGTCTTACTGGCTCATCATGAGGGAGAGCTTGCTGCAAGGACTGAAGCTTCTTGACCAGAATACCCGCGACGGAAACCTGTACGTGAGAGGGGTAGCCAGCGTCCAGAAGTCGTTCTACTTGTTCCCTGAAACTAGCTGCCATCAGATGTGGACAAGACCTCTGTAAGGCGTTACTAAAGCACATATTTACAATGCCTCGTTTTACGAGCTTAGTATGGGCGGAGTGGTACGGAAGCAAGGGTTTGTTACTCCTCGGCTTGTACATCCAACAAATGTGGTCTAGGTGAAAAATGAGAGCGATATCTAAAAATCTGAGAGTGTTATTAACAGGCAACTCATGGGTTAAAACAAGGGGACTAGACCGCTCCTTGATGAAGTTGAAGATATCTAGGGCACAAAAAGTGGGGTCACAGTCAAGAAGAATGAGGAAGTCGTCAACAAATCTAAAGATGCGCATGATTCGGTTGTCACTAAGGTCACCGGAAACGGTTCTGTCGAGCTTGGCTAAAAACAAATCACTTAAGATTGGAACAATACATGATCCAATACAAATGCCCTCCTTTTGAAGGTGGGGCTTCCCGTTCCATTGAATAAAAGTAGATTTCAAATAAAAGGATAAAAGTTCTAAAAAGCTACTAGACGATATACCAGCAGTATTCTGAAATGTTATGCTACCAAGCTTGTCAATGCACTCTTCTACACAACTAAGAATCCATTTGTGAGGCAATGAATAATACAGATCTTTTACATCAATGGAAAAACCACACATGTGCTGATTCGAACGGGGTCGGACGAAATCAAGAACTTGATGGGAATTTTTCACAAGAAATGGGTCATCTACTGTTAATAGACCAAGCTTACTTTGTAAAAACAACGCAACATTTTTTTGCCACGTGCCATTTTCTGAAACGATAACACGAAATGGTTTTTCAGGCTTATGTGTTTTCGCACTGAAGAACACCTCAAGACAATCTTTTTTGCTATTTGCTATGTCACTAACAAGTTTACTGAGGTCGAGCTTTTCACACATCTTTTTTGCCTGAGACTTGACTTTAGAAAGAACAACATTGTCCTAACTTTTGAAAACAGATGAAACAGCTTCACTTGCTTTAGAACTGAAAAGCTTGTAAGAAAGAACAGCAAACCCTCCTTCCTTGTCGGCTGGAAGTACGGCGAGGGCGTTGTTCCTAAGGTAGGCCTCCACTTTTCTCAGCGGCAATTTGGAAGAGTGTTGCTTCGAACGAAGGAGCACATCAACACCTGCTGACACACACCGGTCATGTTCCGAGTCAGTTGCCTTTCCAGAAATTTGGCGGACCAAGGAGAGCCTTTCAGGTGCGGAAAGCCTTGGCTGGGGTTTGCTGTTCTTTCTTACAAGCTTTTCAGTTCTAAAGCAAGTGAAGCTGTTTCATCTGTTTTCAAAAGTTAGGACAATGTTGTTCTTTCTAAAGTCAAGTCTCAGGCAAAAAAGATGTGTGAAAAGCTCGACCTCAGTAAACTTGTTAGTGACATAGCAAATAGCAAAAAAGATTGTCTTGAGGTGTTCTTCAGTGCGAAAACACATAAGCCTGAAAAACCATTTCGTGTTATCGTTTCAGAAAATGGCACGTGGCAAAAAAAATGTTGCGTTGTTTTTACAAAGTAAGCTTGGTCTATTAACAGTAGATGACCCATTTCTTGTGAAAAATTCCCATCAAGTTCTTGATTTCGTCCGACCCCGTTCGAATCAGCACATGTGTGGTTTTTCCATTGATGTAAAAGATCTGTATTATTCGTTGCCTCACAAATGGATTCTTAGTTGTGTAGAAGAGTGCATTGACAAGCTTGGTAGCATAACATTTCAGAATGCTGCTGGTATATCGTCTAGTAGCTTTTTAGAACTTTTATCCTTTTATTTGAAATCTACTTTTATTCAATGGAACGGGAAGCCCCACCTTCAAAAGGAGGGCATTTGTATTGGATCATGTATTGTTCCAATCTTAAGTGATTTGTTTTTAGCCAAGCTCGACAGAACCGTTTCCGGTGACCTTAGTGACAACCGAATCATGCGCATCTTTAGATTTGTTGACGACTTCCTCATTCTTCTTGACTGTGACCCCACTTTTTGTGCCCTAGATATCTTCAACTTCATCAAGGAGCGGTCTAGTCCCCTTGTTTTAACCCATGAGTTGCCTGTTAATAACACTCTCAGATTTTTAGATATCGCTCTCATTTTCACCTAGACCACATTTGTTGGATGTACAAGCCGAGGAGTAACAAACCCTTGCTTCCGTACCACTCCGCCCATACTAAGCTCGTAAAACGAGGCATTGTAAATATGTGCTTTAGTAACGCCTTACAGAGGTCTTGTCCACATCTGATGGCAGCTAGTTTCAGGGAACAAGTAGAACGACTTCTGGACGCTGGCTACCCCTCTCACGTACAGGTTTCCGTCGCGGGTATTCTGGTCAAGAAGCTTCAGTCCTTGCAGCAAGCTCTCCCTCATGATGAGCCAGTAAGACGTCAGAAGCTTGCCGTAGTGCCTTATTTGCATGGAATCTCCCACAACTTGAAAAAGGTTGGGGAGCGGGCCAATATAAAAGTGGTGTTTTCTGCCCCGAAAAAGCTCTCGTACTTGTGTATGAAAGTTGTTTCACATGCAAAACCGGGATGCTCTAAAAAGCACTTAACACTGTATGTTACATGCGCGCAATTTGTAATCTATCAAATACCTCTTTCATGCGGTAAATACTGCATAGGACAAACTGGCAGGTGCATTAATGACCGGCTCCGCGAACACGCTTGCAACGTAAGAAATGGTCGAGATGGTTTTTTGGCACTACATTGCAGCACGTGTGGCTGCAAACCACTTTTTCATGGTTCGATAATCATAGGAAAAAACAGAAATAAAGTGACAAGGGAGATTATTGAAGCAGAAAAGATTAGTAGATTAGCGCCGAACTGCGTCAGCACTCCTTCTCTCGGTCTTTGTGAAAAAGAATTGTCGTTCTTGAGAGCATAAGTTTTTAGCGCATGGCAATAGAGGGTTTTTCATCTGTTTATCTGTTGTCTTCGAATTTCGTGAGCATATATATGTACGCTCCTCGAAATAAAGATTTTGTTGGAAGTACGCGCTCCCTTCGGTCCCTTCCCTTGTCCTATATGTGTCTAAACGCGCTACGTCGATCAACTATGTCTTACCAACATGCCCAACTTTATACTTTAGGCAAATCTAAGGCCACTTACTGCGCCGAAAAAATTCCAATTCAGAGACATGAAAATTCCCTATTTCGGGGACTTTACCCTGCGAGTGTGGACGAAATTCCCAGCATATTTCCCTGCACAACAGTACTAATTTCCGCCCACATCTACGCACACACATACTATATAATTACACGCGTCGGACGTACTGGCGACTTTTGAAGTTATGACTAGGCCCTCCGCTGAAGCACAACAAAAGCATGGCTTTATTAATTCATATACTGTATACACTGAACATTGTGGGCTTCAAGTCTAACACCGCTAGTGAACTAGAAATAGCTCCGCGTAAATATCGGGAACAAATCTCAAAGGCCATGCTAGTGTGGTACATGCTCCAGAGCCGATTACAGCAATTGAAGCTGCACTGTGACCGCTAATTATCGGTCATCATAGAAGAATTTGAACAATCCTTAAATTCCCTGCAATATCACGAAGA